TCTAGGTAGAGCTTCGGTTAAGAACTCAAAATGGGGTCATGTTCAATACTTCTTTTTTCCATGACCTCCCAGAAGACAGACCTAGGCGCATCATAAGTGGCGGATGAGGCCAATTTGCACAAAGCATCCGCCTGATTGTTTTCTGACCGGGGCACCTGACTTAGATGAAAATCGTCAAGTGTCCCCGCCTCATCTTTGACCGCCTGAAGGTATTTGATCATTGCCGATGGGTGGCCTTGTAGTCACCATTGAATTGGCTAACGATCAATTGAGAATCAGAACAGGCGTCAACCTTTTTTGCCCCTGCTACCTTACACATGCGTATACCGGCTAACAGGGCCTCATACTCAACATCAGTATTTGAAGCTTGAAACTTGAACCGTAGTGCATATTCGTATGTGTCTCCTTCCGGAGACTTGCAAATTACGCCTGCACCACAGCCGTTTAAGGTAGAACTTTCGTGTATGAATAACTTCCAAACCTGATTGGTTTTCTCCGGCTGTGCCGGCCTAGTCATTTCAACAATGAAGTCGGCAAACGCCTGACCTTTCACTGCCAGCCTAGGTTCGAAAGTTATCTCCAGGCTTTGCATTTCAACAGCCCACTTGATCATTCTGCCGGATGACTCTATAGTAGTCATTAGACGCTTGAGTGGTTGATCAGTATAGACAATCACCGGATGAGCCAAGAAGTAGGGCTTCAGCCGCTTGATTGCTTTGTAAAGAGCCAACCGAAATTTTCCAATCATTGGGTACCGTAGCTCATCATTTCTGAGTATATGGCAGATGAAATACATCGGGAGCTGCTTTCCGTCTCTCTCAGCAAGGAGAACAACACTAAGGGAGTGATTTGAGACGGCTAAGTACATGTAGAGAACCTCCTTAGGCAGGGGACTCACTAGCCTTAGCAAAGAGTGCAAGTGTTGCTTTAACTTCTGAAATGCCGCCTCAGCTTCTTCTCGCCATTCAAATCTAGACCTCTTCCTGATTGCTTGGAAGAAGTAAAGGCACTTGTCACCTGACCGACTGAGGAATCTTCCTAATGCCGCCAGGCAACAGGTTAGCTTCTGGGCCTCCTTGACGGTGCGGGGTGACTTCATGTCAATCACCACCTATACCTTTTCCGGATTGGCCTCTATGCCTCTTTGATCAATCAAAAATCCGAGAAACATTCCAGACTCAACACCAAAGACACACTTCTTGGGATTAAGCACGACCTTGTGCTGCCTGAGGGTGGTGAAGGTTTCTTGAATGTCGACTAAGTGATCTGCCTGTAGCTTAGATTTAACTATCATGTCATCAATATACGCCTCTACATTCCTTCCGATTTGATTGATGAAAACCGTGTTAATCATTCGTTGGAAGGTAGTAGGCGCATTCTTCAACCCAAACGGCATCACCGTGTAGCAGTACAACCCCTGATCAGTGACGAAGGCCGTCTTCTCCTGATCCTTCTTCCATAGGGGGATCTGATGGAAGCCTGAGTAGGCGTCCATGAAGCTCATCAAGGCGTGGCCGGCTGTAGAGTCAACTAGGCTGTCGATCTTAGGAAGTGGATAACTATCCTTTGGACACGCCTTGTTCAGATCTGTGTAATCTACATACATTCGCTAGGTACCATTCGGTTTCTTGACAAGGACAACATTTGCTACCCAATCCGGGTGGTGACATTGCCAAATGAACCCGGCATCCAGGAACTTTTTGACCTCGGTGGCTGCCGCCTGAGACCTCTCCTCACCATGATCCCTCTTCTTTTGCCAAACCGGCTTCTTTTTGGGATCAACGGCAAGTTTGTGGACGGCTAGATCCGAGCTGACGCCTAGCATCTCCTCCACTTCAAAGGGGAAGATACCTTTGAATTCTTTTAGGAGTTGGAGCAAGCCTGCTCCCAACTTTTCAAAAGCAACCGTCCCAACTTTGACGGTTCTATCAGGGCGGCTGTTGTCCAGGACGACGTCAATGCTCTCACCAACCGGCTGGGGTCGGGAGTAATTCGGCCTTTCCCCGGTCAGTGATTGCTATTTTTCTTTCCTGACGGGGGCCAATTGGTCCGCCTTTCTCTTTTTGCCGGCTGCCATAGGGGCAGGCGCGACTTCTTTTTCATTGAGGTCAATGGGCTCCTCGTTATGGTCAGCTGCTATAGCAGTCGGCTTAACGTCTAAAAGGTAGCACTCCCTAGCCGTCTTTTGATCCCCGCGCAGGGCACCGACTGACCCGTCATCCCTCTCAAACTTGATCATCATGAGAGATGGGATGATGACTGACTTGGACTCGTTGAGAGTGGGACGACCAGAATGAGATTGTAGGCGGTCAATTCCTCGGCCACTAAGAATTTTACGACCATGTGCCGCCCTTCCCCCTTCTCTCCTAGCCGGATGGGTAGGTCAATCCTCCCCATTAGATGCACTACTCCTCCCCCAAAGCCGACTAGGGGGTGAGGGGCCTTGTGCATGCTGCTAGGCTTGTACTTGAGCTTTGTCAAGCACTGGTAGCTGATTAGGTCAGACGAGCTCCCGGTATCAATTAAGATCCGGCCAACTCGTTGGTTGGAAACCTTGCATTCGATGACAATGGGGTCATCGTGGGGCCGCCTGACCATACCCCGATCCTTCTTAGAGATGAAGACCTCAGGAAAGGTGTATTTCGACGCCTGACTCTCATCCTCTGGGTTGGACAACTTCCGGTTATTATCCTTGGTACCTCGGATGGTAGGACCCCCGCCTGCGAAGCCGCCTGCTATGGTGAAGATGTGCTCTTCATCAGTTTCAGAGCTCATAGCCGGCTTTTTGGACGGCTGTCCGCCATTTGATTTGGAGTTGCCCTTGGACTTCACCAGGTAGGATTTCAATGCCCCCTCGTTAGCCAAACGGTCCAATAACCGCCTGAGGCTATAGCAACCATTGGTGTCATGGCCGACATCCTCATGGAACTGACAATACTTGCTCTTGTCCCTGTTCTTGACATAGCTTTTCATAGTAACCGGTTTTTCAAGGGTCAACCGGTCTTTTATCTCCATGAGGATGGAGGAGCAGTCCTTGTTGAACTCGTACTTGGGGACGTACGGTTCCAACTTTCTCTGTTTCTTCTGGGACGGCTGACTAGTGCGGTCTGCTGCCCAGACTTCTTTTCTTTTCTTTTCTTCCTTTTTAGCCGGCTATCTCTCTTGGGTTCCGACGAGTGCTTGACGGCACAGAGTTCCGTCGCCTGTATATAGGCTTCGGCTTCCATCAGCGCCTCTTGGAGGGTAGAAACCCTCTTGCGGACCAGGTCAAACTTGAAGGTTGACCCATCCTTTAGACCCTTGAAGAAGTCTGTGTATGCAACTTCGTCAGACTGCCCTTGAATTTGAATTCTCATCAGATTGAACTGCCTGACATAAGACAGAAGTCCCTCCTTGTCACCCTGCTGAATAGCCCCTAGGTCGAGACTTGTCTTTTTGGCAGGGATGTTCATGGAGAAGTTGGACGCGAACAGGTATGCAAGCATCTTGAAGTTATTGATGCATTCGGCTTGCAGGTTGCCAAACCATCGTTGGGCTATGCCCTTCAACGTAGCCGGGAAGCATCTGCACCAGGCGGCATCATCCAACCCCTGTAGGTACATGAGGTTGGTATACGCCATTAGGTGGTCTTCCGAGTTGGTGGTACCGTCGTAGGTACCAACTAACACGTTTTTAACCTTGGCGGGCTGGGCCGCCTCGGTTATTTCCCTGGAGAAAGCCGAAGGCTGTTCCCCAAGGTTTAGCAGCCAGAACTGCTAGTCCATGGGCTGGACTTAATATGCCGCCTGACCCCCAAAAGGAGCCGACTGCATGAATGGAGATTCATACGGCGCGTATGGTTGTTGGGGCACAAACAGAGCCTGCTGGATAACATGAGGGCCAGTACGTGAGAACATGCCGCGTGACTGACTCCCTTGATGCGTCTCTGAATGCTTCATTGCAGTATTTTGGAAACTGTCTAAGTAGGTCGACGTTGAAGCCGACTCAGACATGTGCTGACTTCTCTTCTCCTGGATGAAGATTCGGGCGCCAGAGTAAGTCTTTTTGGACCCATCCGGCTATACTTGCCGGATGGCCTTCCTTTGCCCTGATTCAGGGAAACGAAGTTTGGAGAGGTCGATCAGGGGCCCATCCGTCCCCTTGGGTTTGGGGTGTGGAGTAGGCACCCAGTCTTTAATCTGCTTCTTCCCGGAGGGAGAAGACTTCTTTGCGGACTGACCCTTGCTTGAGCCAGTTGACTTCTTGATTATGTCGTTAATTTCCCCCTTGAACCTAGTCATGAGATTCATGAGTTCGTCTCCGGTGACGGGGGTTGTGCCCTCCGCCACCTGGGGTTGCCCAGGGTGCTTGCCGCCTGGGTTGCTTGGTCTAGCTTTGTCTTGGCCCCGTTCCTTCTTTTCTTTGGAACGGGTGCGCCTGGAACGAAATAACTTGTATGGGGCCATGTAAGTGTCGACTTCTTAGTCGTCACCACAGTCATGGTCCAAATGGACCTCAAGGTCAGTCGTAGACCGGCTGCCCTTTGCGCACAGTACTGTGTCGGATGCCATCTCAGTAGTACTCTCCCCACAGACAGCGCCAAAAGTTTCGGGTGTTTTTGGAGTCCCTCGGGAGAGTTACAATACTGAGTATGCGCGCCTGACGTCTGTACCTGTAAAACCACAAAAATCCGGTTGGATGGAGTTCCGCCTCCGACGATCAAGTTAGTATGATTCCGTATGGGTAAACGAGCGGAAAGTAAATGGGTTTTTCTCACTGATTAAGAGAGATTCCACAATTAATATTGCTCGGGTTTTGTGTTTGTATTTATGAATGAGTTATAAATGAGGAATTTCCTCTATTTATAGCAGATGAGGATCTGCTCCCCCATTGGAGGTACAATGCCACGTGTCAACATCCGATTGGATCCCGTTAGGCCTCTGGTGGGATGCCACGTGTCATCATGCTACTGGGCCACGTGGCATAGGGTATTTTTACCCTAAACACCATACATGAACAAACACGAGGGTTTTTGGTAGTATGTCGTACCCTTATATAGTGCATTTTTCGAGTGTTTCCCTGACTATTAGCATTGGAACTGCAGGACGGAGCCTAAATGTTTCTTTGACCATGGCTTTAAAATACTCGAGCTTTGGCTAATCATCTGGTGATACATAACCCTTGTTGCCTGCTAAACCTCGAAGCTCTTTTTGTACTTTCTTAGCAATACAAATGACAACAGCCAAATGACATACTTGTGGAAAGAGATCTAATGGACTTGCATTAGGACCACCACTTGCTGGTACAGCTGCTTGAGAAGCCTAACCAAGAGGGTTGCCAACCTAACCATGAGGATTCCCAGCAGGAGCAAGAGGATTTGCAGCCTGCCCACCAGTAGTAGCCGCAGGAGTTCTGGCCACTGGAGCAACTCCAGCTTGCTCAGGAATTCCCTTATAAAGCTAAACCAAGATTCTATATCAGCAAGAATCAAGGAGAAAATTAGTAACCATAAAAATGACAGCAAAGCCTGCAACATCAATTGGAGAAAACAGCAGTCCTGTAGATATATAAAGAACAAATAAAAAATAAAACCTCTAGCTGCAGTAAATTAATCATAACAAAGTCCAATTGATGGCACAATGCCGAAGCAGAACATTCTTTATCAAAAGAACCAAATAAGAGGCACTATTAAAGTCAAATGTAGTAACAAGATGGATTTACAAAGATAATCCCGAACCTTAACATCTTTGCAAGAATTTTAGAGTGAAGCAAGCACGGTGTATGCTCGTTTATGAATTAAAGTGGGAGGGGGGAGCATGAATGATGAATCAGTAGTATATAGACATACAGAATACAAATATTCGACAGCCCTCTCAGGGTTGTTATAAGCAGCATGCAAAGCACGAACAACAGTAACCCTGTCCCAACTTCCTCTACCCATATCAAGAATTTGCTGAATGGTGCTCTCCAAATTGCTTCCGGTAACTAAATTAGATGCAACCTAGCCATAGACATTTGCGTCCCCTCTGCATATAAGTAATTAAGTTCGTATTTATTCATAAGTTCCACAAATTAGTGATTTTGATGGAAAACATTGCTTAGAATGTCTAAGAAACGGTTAAAACTCACGAAGCAGCAACTGCATCAGTCAAGGGACTCACGAAAGCTGCAGCAGCAGGTTCTGTAGCTGTCTGCGTCCTAACATTACACAATAGCATTTATAAGCACAGTAACAAAGATCATGTATCATACAAGCCTAGAAACTTTCAGTATTGAATATTAATAATAATAATTGGTACACCAAAGCCCGAAAATTAAAAAGAAAATACTTCAAGAACTTACTGAGTTTGAGGTGCAACTGGTGCAGGCACAGCAGCTGTAGGCGTAGAGGTTGTGCTCGGAGGCTGAGCCTACAAATGTGAGCCACTTGTTATACCATAGGACAAACATGAACTACTAAAGTAAAAAGTTAAAAATTCACCCATTTGTATATAAAGCAGTGAATTCTCTGACAAATTTGATTGCATGCTCCTTAACCTCAAATAGTCCATCCATGCGTAGCCTTATGTCTTGGCATCCAGCCGCTATTGAGGTAATACTTTCATTGCAGACTTCTTTCAGGCTATCAAGTCCAATAATGTAAGAAATTATACGACTATTAATGTCTGGATATGATTCTTCTATCCAAGATCTAACCTAAACGCATATGAAACATTGAAACCCACAAAGCCTGATTTTCAAAAATGATAAACTTGCAGCAGTACTTCAGTTATGTCTCAGAATGTACTCCTACATTGTACTGCAAGTACGATTGAAAATTCAAAAAGAATCAGAGAACAGCATATATACCAGATACTCAGCTGCTCTTGCATGTTTAACGCATTCATAACCTCCGTAAGATATCTCTTCCCACCCTTTCCATCTAGACTCCTAAACCAGATAGAGAACAATTGAACAAAGATTCACTACTTTATATACAAAAAGTATGGGCCTCCTAACATATGGGCCTATGCTATGATTACTTTTTGTCTATACCTCCTATAGTCCTATGGTATTTCACACTCTAAAATACCATAGGAAATATGCAATGCTATGATTAAATTTCCTCAAGAGGTTATAAACCTCAACATAGCATATAAGGAGAATATCGAAATTGCATGCCCATAACAATTTTGAAAAGTGATAATCAAAGGCTTGTATCCTTGCACTGTATATCCCAACCAAATTAGGCCAACAAATCCAGAAAAGCAATAATCAAATCCATTACTCAATACTGTCTCACTCTATCCTTGCACTCCACTTCCAAGATGAAACAAGCGTGAGCTAGTATACTACAAGTATGTCGGTAATTAGTACTGAAACAAGTCTTTAAATTAAACTTCATCCAATTCCAGAGAATCAACAATCCAGTTCAAATACTACCTCACTTCAATCTAGCATTCAAAACCAATAAATCAAAATATTCTTCTCACCAACATTCTCATCGCTATTCATTTCAACTACAATATTCTACCGACTCATAAATGTTCTCAAATATCCAAAATAAAATCCAAACATTCGTATTAAAACTGCAGAAATATACTCAAATATCCAAAATACATCCAAACTCTTATTAACGCAAGAATCTTAGTATACATCCAAATACTCCTATAAAACTGCAGGAATTTTCTTAATTATTCAAAATACATCCAATATATATGCATATTCAAGTATCAAATCTCAATCATTCACCAATATACTATGTTTAGTTACTTTAGTAACTAAAACAAACAGCATTAAGCACTCATTTAGCGATTGTTAGCTCGAATCTCATTTATTCTTCCATATCTCAGTATATAGAGCGGCAATATCAGAGAAAAAAATAATTCAAAATAACAAATACAAATCGAATTAAATCTTTTAGGTCAAAATAAATTTAGACAGATCTCCGCAAAATCGAACCATTAAATCCTAAAAAATGGCACAAAACAAAAAAAATAAAATAAAATAAATAAAACTAAAAGAAAACACACAAACCTGAGCAGTTTTGTAAGAATTCATAGTATCTTCAGCAGCAGTTTCCTTCCATCACCAGATTTATAGTCAGCCATATAACAATGATATAATCTCCCTTCATCTTCAAGTAGAAGACTCTTGATTCACTAACAGAAACAGTAGGAGTGAGATGAGAATTGAGAAGCTTCAGAATACAAGCACCGATATCAGAAATCTCTAATTCAACGTGCTTTCCATGTAGTACTCATTTAGGACTACGACACAGTTCTGACAAGGGATGGAGTCCCATAACTACCTAAATGGGAGTTTATAATATCTACGGGTGCCCAAGCACTCAAAAACATAAGCTGAATGAGCTTACCCTCAGTTCATCACAAGATCATAATTTCCACCAAGACCACCAAATGCTTCTTGCCATGAATCCAAAAGTGCCAAAATTTTCTATTTTACATGCATGTCAGCGTGAAAAACCATTTTAAAAAATCCAAATGTTAGGTAAAATTAAGGAAAAGAATTTTTAAAAGATAGAAATAGAAAGCATTGCAATACTGCAGAATTTAAGGTCCAAAATATAAGCATTAATTAATGCATTTCCTAATATGATACTTGTATAAATTACACTATTCATGACAAAATCATGTGTCGATTACTATTATTTAAGTTTATTTAATACTCAAGGCCATAAAATAAATGGAATTCTTTGAAGTAAATGCATGATTACAATAAAACCTCCTCGAACCACAATATCAATTTCTACATTGATAAAATAACAATCCCAATCACCAAACTCAAACCCAGAAAAAATCAGATAAAAATTGAACAACCCACACAATTCAATTCAAATTAACAAAATTTTAAAACAAAATAGTTCAAGAATTTCACCGAATTTTGCTTTCTTGGCTTCGATTTCCAAGTAGTAGGACGCGGAATTTCAATTACATTAGGGTCTTTGAACGACGCACTATTGTTGCTACTACTCCCAGCAAACATTCTCTTCCTTCAAGACCCCAGGAAAAAAAATCAAATTAATTCAAAAAGAAAATGAAAAATTTAGAAAAAAAAATCAAAAGTTAAGATAAAAAATCAAAACCTAGAAATTTAAAAACAAAAGATGATTACTTGGATTTTCGATGATTACTTCTAGCGATTAGTATCTTGTAAAGCAAGTTTAGGATCATTTGCAAGTTTGAAATCGAGCTGATAATTACGTGAAAGAAGGGAATCGAAGAACAAAAAGTGAGAAGATTTAATGGCGAAATCATCACGAACAAAAAATCCGAAGAAACCTGAATTTAGGAGAGAGAAAATACCGCCAATTCTATCACATCGCCACCGTTCGGGTTGTCGCCGGATTGTGTTGCCGCCGAATCGAGTGAAGCGCACTTCGACCTCTCCATTCAGGTGACCTTTCCTTCTTCTCCTAGTTTAGCTGAATTCCATCGGTTCCCCAAAACCAAAAATTACACAATCCCCTCTCTTTCTCTCTCCTCCCAAAACCCCCCATTTTCTCTCTCTATCCCTTCATCATCTCATTTGTTCAGGAGGGAGGATAAAAAGTGTTTGAATCGCAGTTGAATCGCCGAATTTTTCAACTGATTAGGGTTTTGATTTTCATCGATTCTTTCTCCTCCTGTTGTTGGTTATGGAAGCTTGATTTCCAACGATGAAGCATGCAAATCTGTGATTTTAGCTTCTTCTTGAAGGTTTTAGTGGAAAAGCTAGGGTTTAAATTTTCGATTTCGTTCTAACTGCATTTATTTAGGTTTTGCTGAATTTAAAATTTGCTTTTTGGTTGAAATTGTTTCGATCTTTGGATGGATTCCCGAGATTCAACTTTGCCTTCTTCGATGTTCGATTAATGTGGCTAGAGAAGGTTCCGATGACGACGGTGTTCTTTAATTTCGGCCACTTCTTTGCTCGCTAAAGAAGTTAATTTAATGGAGGAGAGAGATATAGCATGCTGAAGAGAGAGAAAGAATGCAGAAGAAAGCAGCAACAAGGAAGGGCAAAACAGTCACCCCACTGTCTATAAGCACAGTAACTCAACTTTTCATATTAATAGAAAGGATTTTAGATTATGAAGTTAATTAGAATATTTAACATTTTTTAGCTCAATTTATATAATAAGAGAGATCATTATTTGTTACATATGTTTTTTCTTAAATTAATTATTTTGCACACATAAGAACAAATGTTTTATTGCTAAAATCGTGTATCGCACGGGACTAACCTAGTAATATTAACATTTAAATTACCATTATATAGTTGTACCATAATGTGGTTCACTGGAAAAAAAAAGCATTTCTATTCCCGGTGTTGATTTGAAATCTTATGAAATAATAATAATTGAGTTAGTTTTATGTTAAATATTTCTGATTGTACCAACTTATAACTTTTTTTTCCTTCAAAAAATATGTACACTATTATTAAACACAGGTCATGCTTATATCGATCATTTTAAAAAATATGTCAAGCTATCATTAAAAATTTTCCGCCAATAAAATATATGATGTCAGTTTTAAGTCTTTTCAATTTTTAATAATTCTACTTAGCTTAGTTTTTGGAAGTACACTGTATATTTTTTTTTCTTAAAATAAATTAATTTATTAATAAAAAGTCATACGACAGCTACATTATATAATTTTATTGGGAAAAACATGCATCATTAATGTAATATAATATATACTATTTAAATATTTTCAACACAACTAATTAAAAATAATAGAGTATTTTTTTTTTCTCTATTGTAGTTTTAATATATTTTGTTTTATTATTTCACTTTTCTTATATGTGTTGCATTTGTTTATTCCACATGAGTTGCCTCATTTTTATATTATACTACCTCCGTTTATTTTTATGTGCAACTTTTGCCATTTTAGTCCGTTCACTATTATGTGCAACTTTCCTTTTTCATTCTGTTTTTGGTAAATAAAAACCCTTGAATTTACTATATTACCCCCACTTAAAAAATTTAATCATCTTACTTTTACCCCTCATTATCCAAAACCCTAACTTAATTTAACACACCTAAATTAACCTAACCTAATTACTCCCTCCAATTTACCCCCCAACCGACACAACTCTACATCTTCCCAACCACCTTTTCTAAACTGATCTAGAGAATTCTATAGAACCCTAGATCAGTTTCTTTGTTTTCCTGTTCTTCGTGTTCTAGGGTTCCTGTTCTTCGTCTTCTTCGTTTCGTTCGCCCTTTTCCTGAAGAATTCAGAGTCCCACAATTATGTCTTCCCCCTTTCCCTCCCCTTTCGAGAGGCATCCAGACTTCACAATTCCGTTACATGACCTAGATCCACTTGTTGACGCCTATATTGGCACAGATTCACAGAGTGAGGCTCGGTTCATCAAGTCCCTCATTAACGACATCAACAGGGGCAATGATTTTCCTCGCCGCCTTTACAACTCTGAGGAAGGCCCTAGTTGCTGTTCTTCGACGACTTTCAAAGCTTTGGGGGAAGTCCTGAAAAATATCGACGAGGGGGAGAAGACGAACAAAGAGGAGGGTGAAGGCGAGTCCCATGCCAAAAAAAAAATTGATTTTCAGGTTAAAGATGTAGATCTGGAGTCCGATTTTGAGGTCAGTGTTGCGCCCTCCCCCACCCCCAAGCGCGGATCTAAGGTTTCCAGGCCTCCTCCGAAGCTTTGGCGAAAGAGGAAGGCTGCGGTGGTGGCGATGAGGCGTTTGCGCGGGTTGCCTGATTTGCCGGAGTCCGACCTCGTGGTGCTGTCCTCTGATGAGGAGGCTGAGCACTGACCTTTGCGTAACGATTCCTATTCCTAATTTTTTTAAATTTTTTAAAATTTAAAAGAGTCCTAATTTTTGTGCCGGTGGATCTATGGCTGAAACTAGGGTTTCACTGTTTATTGCGGGATTGTTTGACTGGTTGTGGTTTCATGATGGGGTGTTGGTTGTGTTGATCTACTCTGGCTGCTAAGGGTTTGCTGTTATGGGTAACTTTGACTCGTTGTTGTTTATTGTTGGGTTGTTGATTATGTTAAATGTTAGGGTTTATTTGTATGTTTGTGTTGATGTAGGCTGGATACTAGGGTTTGCTGTGTAATGTTGGGTTGTTGGTTATGTTACATCTGGGAGATTTATTGCTGGTTGCATGTGTGTGTTGATACATCTGGTTGCATGTTGTCTTTATTGCTGGCTGTGTGGACTTGATTGATGAATGATGAGGCTGGTGTCTTGTGCATGTTCATTGTTGCCTAGTCAGTCCCTTAAAAGGAGTCCCATGATGTTGCCTTCTGTTTCTTGTTTATTAAAGAGTCCCCTACTTTGATATGCTATTTAGCTTACCCATATCCACATGATGAAGGGACTCCAATGAATTTCAATATGCACAGGTGATTTGCTCCATCAACATGAAAGTTGTTGTTGTTGTTGAGGTACCCTTGTGCATATGTGTAGTATTCAACATTATAACCCTCTGATGGATTTAGTGCCCACATAAATTGTTTATCTTTGTCATTCATAATCAACTAAAAATGTGGGTACAAAATACTAGTACATAAAACTTTACAAAAGACCATATGTATGATAATCTAATGACTATACTTCAGACTGCCTGACTTGTTTGGGTAATTGTAATCAACAAAATACACCTAACCACTGGATTGCTCAAAATGTTTTTGGGAAAAAAAAAACCAATAAAACTTACTATGATAAGTGGTTATGTGTGGCAGTCCATGTGTTGTCTGGTTGTTGTAAAGAATCCCCTAATCTGCATCCACCTCCAAATCTTCTGTGTCTTCTTGAGTGCCTTGATTTGCTGGCCTAAACATGGTGTTTAGGTACTCCACAGCCTCCAATACATCCTCTTTCTGAACCTCTACCAAATCTGGAAGACTACCTAGGTTTTCCAGCTTTTTTTTGTTCATATGTGGTATTTTGTACTTGTTACCACCTTCTGCCTTGAGTATCTTAATCATACACTTTTGCAATGTAACCCAGATGTACTTGTTTACATGAGGGTTGAAAGTGTCATAAGACTGTTTGACCTTTTGAATTAGCTCCTCTAAGTCCCTAGGAAAAGACTGATATTGCAATGATTGTATAGACCTAAATAGCCCTAAGTCAAGGACATTCAAATCAGGAGACTGTGCTGGCTGGAAAACAAATTGAATGTTAAAGCCATTAGCTGTTGTTGCTGCCACAAACTCATCATCTGTAGGAACTTGGTGTGGCCTTGCATTGTCCCATTGGATGACCACATCCTTGGGCAGACCTTCAGGCCACTTTGATATGATTGCTGGAATAACCTTTGTTAGCAGCATCTCTCTGATTACTTCTCTGTTTATGTTCTGGAGTGCCTTGGTTTCCATGGTCCCTCTTGGTCTTTTCTTGCTTGCTTTCTGTGCTACTTGCTGGACAGTGAATGGAAAGATGCCATACTTTCCATCATGTAAAAGTTCCCCATTTATGCCATATAATGGCTTCCCTATGATTGCCATGAACATTGCCTTTAGTTTGAATCTTCTTGACTGAACTGCCATATAGGGATCCTCCTCACATGGCAGTAGGTAGAACCTCCTTTTGTCAGGGTTCAAGTAGAACCACTTTTCATCACAGTGTATGACATTCCTCATGTCAACAAATGTGGGGTCCTCATTCCCTGTAATTGGATTTATATGTGACAAAATCCATCTTAGTCTGGCAACCTTGTGGTCTGATGTGAGCAATGGTTTGTTGCAGCATGTGTGTGTTCTTAGCCTGCCTCTTTTCTTCAAATTGTGAACTGTAGTTAGACTGATCTTCAATGCTCCTGCATAGCTTCTTTCTGTCTGCCTTAAATGTAATGGGACTGACTGGAGAGTTTCATCAGAAATCTCCATTGGCTTTCTCCCTGTTTTGCCAAATTTTTTGGTCCTGACATCAATCAAGTCCCCTGTTGCCAGCTGTTTTTTTATGTCTGAAAAGATTCTTGTGATTGTTGATTTGTGGACATTAAATTCAGATGCTAATTGCTTCATGTGACCCCTTGGTAAAGTCCCATTGCTCATTTTCAGCAAAATTGCATCAACAATCTTTCTTCTTTGCTGCAAAGTTAATTGTTTTCTGCATACAAGACCAGTCCCTTCATGACCTTGCTGTTGCATTTGTGTGTTGAGAACATTAGTTTCTGTCTGTGGCTGCTGTTGCTGTTCTTCTTGGTTGCCATCCTGCATTTCATCTTCTGAGTTGTACTCCCATATTCCTGCATCCTGCATTTCTTCTTCTTCCTCGAACCACAGCTCTGCTAGCTCTTCTTCATTGAGAATGTGTTCAATATCAAAAAAAACAGAGTCATCAATTTCTGCCATTCCTCTTTTCCAGCACAGGGAGGATGAAGTCAGGGCCCTGCTGAGTTGTGTGGGTTGAAGATGAAGACTACACCCACCTGTGCATGAAGGACAACAGAGCACCCCTGTTTTTTGTAAAGTTTTAAGGAGTAGTTAGTGTGTAATTATTCTAACCTAGGATTTGATAAGCTTTTGTGGATGAAACTGTGTTTTTGGTGGAATGTTTCACCCACCTTTAAACAATGTTGATTGTAATTAATGCCTGACAATGGAGGATGATTTATTCCCTCCTTAAATGCTTGAATGAATGGTGACATTAAATGGGGGCATGGCTGTATTTATAGCCTCCTAAATTTTTTGGGAAAATTTGACTTTGGTATGAAATTTTTAAAAAAGGAGGGGGAAAGTAAAATTTCACCCCAAATTTTCGGTGGGTTTTGGGTGGGAAATTATGCTTTGGTTTTTTCTGCCAAACTTTCCCACCACAAACAAAAAGTGTGGTCCACACTTTCTCTCTCCTTGCTTTTTAATTAAACCCACTAACTTCTCCTAATATTTACTCTTCAATCTTTTGCCTCGTGAACCGTATTATCACTCAAAGTTGCACATAAAAATAAACGGAGGTAGTATCACCAATTAATTATGGGAAAAAAGATTATTACTACCATGCATCGCACGGGTACTTATCTAGTTTTTTTTAAAAAAACCACACACCCCCTCAATACCTATTTCTATCCTTGAAAAAAAAAAATACAAGTTTATCTCATTGATAAATAAAATATGTTTATTAAATGGCAAAAATGTAAATAAATTAACAACTTTTGTCATATATAAGCTCCATAATTGTTGATTTATTTATCAAAATGCCTTGATAATTACATACATAGTATATCATTTGCGTTTTTTATAATTATTTTATTTATAATTTTATCATTTGATAAACAAAGATAAAGTGAGGCTTGACTACATATATCATTTGCCTTTTAAATTATCGCACGCATCGCATGTATAATCCGTTGGACACCAAAACAAAGGTTATCCATTTCTTTCCTTGCAGGGTCTACAGAAATTCTCTGGCAGTATCATCAACAATTCTCATCAGATTCTGTATTACCTGAAAACATTCAATTTCGCAAGTCGCAACCCTTTATTTTTCGTCATTCAATTCCTTTCTCCTTCCTCCTACTCTTTGCATCAGATTCTCTCTTTCTACTCCGTTTTCCAGGCCCAAAAAGCTCTCTTTTCTCGCTACTTTTCCGCCATTTTATCCTCCATTACAAGCTTTGAAACTTTCTTACTGCGTTTTTCTGCTAGAGGTATTGGATTTTTGGAGATGGCTTTAATGGCGGATTTTCAGAATTATTGGAGTTTTTAGCAATATCGTGATTTTTGCGTATGAATTCGTATATTTGTTCGGATTATGCAATTAGGGTTTCGTAAAGCGATTCGAGTTCATAAATTATGCTTCCGTGGGGTGGGATTAGCTGTTGTTTGAGTGCTGCTGCACTTTATCTTCTTGGAAGAAGTAGTGGGAGGTCTGTTTTTGTTCTTCTTTCATTCTAAATTAATGTATTGTTTGGTTGATTCAATCTTTGTTATTTGTGTTTATCAATTGCAATTTTTTATATGATTAAATGTTTACATGTAATTGTTAATTATAATGATTGCAGGGATGCAGATTCTTTGAAATCCGTGGGTCGAGTTAATCAACTGAAAGATTTGGGTAAGATGATTATAATTTTTTTCCTGTTTATTGCAGTTTGCTATATAACTAGTCTTGGATTATATAATGTATTGTTCCTTGGTAATTTATTTCGACTTTGACATTGTATTGTATAAGTGTTGTTACCTGACAACCTGTGTTAAGCAATGCATCAGTATAAAATTGAGTTATTACCTGAAATGAATCAGTAGAGGGTAGGGGTTTAAAAGATATGGGTTTAGTCAATGGTGTTTCTTAATTGCTTACCGAAGTTAATTGCTTACCTGGTGTTTCAGCACTGTTGCTAGATGCTGCAAGCAAAGTTATACCTTTCGTTGTCTGCGTCTCTGGACGTGTTGGTTCTGAAACGCCAATAAAATGTGAATACAGTGGATTACGAGGCGTCATGGTGGAAGAAACGGTATGTAATTCATGCTATCCTATTTAACAGCATCAATTTAAAATTCAGTTTCTGAGCAACATAGATATTATCTTTCTCTATCTTGCGTAACCTGTGCTGAATAGGGCTCTGATGTAGGTTAGATACTATTTTTTTATTAAAAACTTTGCAGTTTTCTTCTAAATTATTGTTTTTTTACATTATTGTAATCTTTATATGTAAGGTATGAAGTATTTATTTTAGGTGGAGGGAGAATGAAATTTGAATTTAGGATAGGATTGTGCACTTGTGTTCTTCTTTCTCTATCTATACCTATGCATTGAAGTTTTTTTCATGTCCTTTTGTGGCTGCCTCAGGCTGAGCAACATTTCTTGAAACACAATGACGCTGGTTCATGGGTACAGGATTCTGCATTGATGCTATGTATGAGTAAGGAGGTGCCCTGGTACCTGGTAATACTTTCATCCTTGTTATATTGGCTATGAAGTATTTAACTTAAGCTTGTTTACTATGTTCTGATGTGATATTGATGCATGGTTATTTATGAGGAAGACCCTCATGATGCATTGCATTAAACTAGCTGATAATTCTTATTTTTCTTTGTAAGGATGATGGGACAGGTCGTGTTTTTGTTTTGGGAGCACGAGGTGCTACTGGTCTGGAATTAACTGTTGGGAGTGAGATTTTTGAGGAGTCAGGACGATCCCTTGTCCGTGGGACATTGGACTATCTCCAAGGTCTTAAGGTACATATCTGTTCATTTTAATGTAAGCTTCCAGTTCCAGATGCATTGCTGTCCTTGCTGATGATTAAATTACTTTTCAGATGTTGGGAGTGAAGCGCACAGAACGAGTGCTTCCAACTGGGACACCCTTGACTGTCGTAGGGGAGGTATGATTCAATGCTGATAAGAATCTTGAAAGTATTTTTTTTACACTTTTGAGATGCACCAGCTTATGATATTACACCATTGATTCAATAGGCCACTTGCTTTCATATGTTTCTTGCACTGACACTCGTCAAACTAACTCAGTCATATGTTTTGTTAAAACATTATTTGTTGGTTTTGTATGAAGTAAGCAGGATGCTGGTGTAAGCATTAGCTTCTGTGCTATCAATTTGATAATTTGCCAAACTTATTGTTGTTATATCTTATACAGTGTCACTGTTACCTGTAGTCATGTTTTGTTAAAACATTATTTGTTGGATGTGTATGAAGTAAGCAGGATGCTGGTGTAAGCATTAGCTTCTGTGCCATCAATTTGAAAATTTGCCAAACTTATTGTTTTTATATCTTATACGGTGTCACTGTTAACTGAGATGGATAAATCTGTGCCTTCATTGACCATTTGTCTTTTATAAGAGGATCCTGAGGAATTTTGCTGCCTGTCTTTTGCTAGTTCCTTTCCCTCCTTTTTTAGAGTGGCTTTTTGGAGAGAGAGTAAAGGAAGTTCCTAATCACTATATACTTATATATACTTGTTCATAATTTGTTTAAAAGAGTTTCAAGGTTACATGGCTGATGTCGGTAGCTTTGTCTGCTATACTTAGAAACCTTATGCTTCTTTGATTAATCATACGGGAATGTGCCGTTGATTATATATCTGCTCCCTTTTCTTCTCCACACATGTAACCTGTTAAGACTTTTTATGTATCTAGGTTCTTATTTCATACGATCTCTGTAATTTAATTTTTTACTTTTTTTTTTGTTTCATTAATGGGCTTCAATTAATTCTTGGTGTTATCTTTTACGTTTGCAGGCTATCAAAGACGATGTGGGAACAGTTCGCATTCAGCGCCCTCACAAAGGGCCTTTTTATGTTTCTCCGAAAACTATTGACCAGCTAATTGCAAATCTTGGAAAGTGGGCTAGGTACAGCCTTATCGTTTTTTTTTTTTTTTTTTTTTTTTTTGTTTTTTTGCAATCCTGTCTTACGCATCCTCTCTGTGTATAAATTGCGTTTGCATCAGGTGGTACAAATTTGCATCCCTGGGATTCACTGCCTTTGGTGTCTATCTGATTGCTAAGCATGCTCTTGGACTTATCCTTGAGAGAAGACGTCGATGGGAGATGCATAAACGGTATGTTGCCTTGTTTATTTATAACCGATTGTTGCTGTAAAATAGTTGTGAAGAATAATGTACAAAACAATGATTGTTGTTCCTGCTCAAAAACAAGCTTACTTACTTGATTGGCTTATTGGATAGAAAATTGAAGGTTCTTTGCTCTTTTGTCCTTGGATTATGATACATATATTGCTGTCAACATTGAGTGGTGATGTATAATAGGAAGGAACATGAAAAAAAGCAAGGGTATAACTGTATAACCGTATAAAGAGGATCTGAGTAGTTGTTTTGAGAATGGATAGTTATAGTATTATAGATGTTGAGACAGTTGAATGGCTGGTGAATAAAAGCTGAAATTACAAGGGAGCAAGCAAATATGTTTGCTGAAACTTTGTATTCCCTCTGTCCCATATATTATCTACTTTGGGTTTGGCACGTACTCCATATTAATGACAATCCTTTGCCCCCCAAGTCATCATGGAACCATCCAATGAATTGTTTTTTTGTAACCTCATCGATTCCCATCTTTTGGTAGGGTTTTTAGCACACAATACCTCCATAGCACGTACTCCATATTAATGACTTTATTTTTTCACTTTTTATTCAACCAAACCCCACTATCCTTATTTATTATTATTTTTATTTTATATTCACCCTTACTCAACCAAACCCATAATTTTATTTTTCATTGTCCAGAACGGAATGCATGACAATCTTATCTATCGAAAATGTGTTTGCAAACGGAAAATGAACTTTTGTTTGGTGCGGAAGGATTATTTGAATGAAAAATTGGCTTTGAATAGAGAGAGAAAAAAGTTAGAGAAAGTAATGGTGGAAAACTGGTTGGGCCGGTTATTTGCTGTTTGGGTTAAATTGGTAGTCATTTCGGCTTCTTGTTAGGAAATGGTTCAGAACTCCAAATTTCATTTTCTGGTTGACCCAATAGATTGAGAGTGTCTTCTACGTCATATTTAAATGCATATTATTAAATGCATATAATTCTGTTTAATCTTTCATTATGATTTCTGTGATGATAGTAAGAATACAGTCACTAGAAATATATTATTAATTAAGCTATTGCAACTTTGTTTAACTAAATCTTCATTCTACGATAATTGTTGATAAGAAAAAACTATTACTCCCTCCGTTCTTTATTTTTTTATTTACGTATTCCATTTTGGGCGTTCCCTTCTATTCTTTACGCTTTCTTTTGTAAAATACATAATATTCCAATTTTTTATGAACTTTTTCCTTAAAATATGTGATTATCATTAATTTTATATCAATTGAATTCAAAATTCTCAAATTTTTTATTCATCCAATATTTTTGGTAGATTTCCGGAGGCTCCTAATTAATTAAATTAATCACAAAAGTTGAATCCATTAATTTCAATTAAGAAATAAGAAAATAACCCCGATTTAATTATTCCTTAATCACCGTGCATAATACCAAACGTTAAAAAATTTTGAGAACGAGGAGAGTAATTTCATATATTAAATTTCAAAAGATGCATAAAAGAAGATTGTGTAATACTGGGTTATTCTAAAAAGACAGTGTGATAAATATTAAGGGTAGATTGTGTAATACTCATTACAGTAATATTATTTTTAAAATGAAAAGAGAGTAAGCTTAGTTTTCATCTCATCCATATTTACCATCGATCATTTCAATTTGTATTTTCAAAGAACAAATGTAGTAATAGACTAAGATACTGCTATTACTAAACCCCTGTGGCCACCTTAAAACCTGAACTGTGAAGAAGCCAACAACCCCACAACTTTAAAGCAAATGTAACCTACTCGGGCTCAATTCAACAATTGTATTGTTTTAGTCCTCTTTGCCATTGTTTCATCTTCTACAGCTTTCAGATGATATGCATGTGATTATCTTTATGTTTTTTAATAAGTTAGATGTTATATGTTATATGTATGTCGAATGCACAGTATTGTCTGAACTTTTTTTTTAGATTCTCTATTGTCTTGGATTTGCTGATTATGGACACTTCCACTCACAAATCAACTACATTTTATCAAGGATAGTTGCTAGATGGCAATAAAGTTAGATTGCTTACTCTCTTTTTCCACCCTTGCTGAAAGTATGATCTTTCTTCCATTAGATACCTAAGATTGTGTGAAAGCATTACCTGGCAAAGAATTTATTTGTGAACTTGATCACTGGATGAACATAACAGTGATCAATGTCGATCTTTGGCCTATTTCTGAATCTTTTCTGAAGTTTAATCATCATTAGTTCATCTTTGTTCCTTCTTTAGAAGTTTAATTGTTCCTTATTGGTTCTGTTACTTCTGTAACCCACTCACCCTCTATGATATCAGGCCTTAACTTAATATGTCTCCTAATTGTGCAGGGTTCGTGATGCAGCAGCAAAAAGATCAGGCCGGGATGGTGATGCTAGTTTCTTTATACTCTTTATTGTTTCATTAATGCTCTATTTGGTCATTTGCTGAATGATTTCTGTTCCTTATTTCAGATGGAAAGGATGGTGGATCAGATAGTGCTAAGAGAGATTGTTTGATGCCAGATCTCTGTGTCATATGCCTGGAGCAAGAGTATAATGCTGTGTTTGTCCCGTATGCTTCTATTCCCTTTTTTTTGGTTTCGCAGTATTTTCTGGAACCTGTTTATTTAGGTAAACACTAACAGAATGCAAGTAACTATTGATACAGAAAGCTTGGGGCCTTGAGTTAATCAGTTATCAAGCAGCGATTTGATACTATTAATAGTTGGTTGACTTGATACTATACTCTGACATGTTTTGGTTCAGGCAGTTGATGTTTACAAATGGTTATTTCTACTAAATGCAATTTAAGAATTGAAGACTAACCATGGTTTGAACTCAAGGACATTGTATAGGTCGTTTTTTTCTTTTTATCAATTAGTTTTACAGCTATAGAGCTATTGGACTCATAGGCTAATAAGCTGGCCATGAGATTGAATTAGTAGATTTAGTGCATGGCTTGCTTGCTTTATTTAGAAATTAACCATCCTCCACCTGTTACTCTGTTAAGGTCATATTCCAAGAACAGTTTTTTATTTATTTATTTATTTATTTTTTTTTTTTTTTTTGGGGTATCCCCTAGTTAACCTTATATCTTCAAAATTAACAGCCATACCCCTTTTTAAATCCATTAGTCATCAATTTCTTTTATATGGCTTACTCTATTTCCTTTATGTCAACCCTCCATCATCTCACCTATATTGCATTTAATCTTTTTGGGTCAAACGCAAAAAAAGTAGATCAGGGAGGTGTCAGAGTAAATCAAGATTAGATGCAAAATTTAACAGTTAATGGACAGAAAATTAGTGTATTATTCAGATCAGAGACAGATATTAGGTGTGGTCTTGTATAGCTGAGATACTTCGGAGTATTTCTTGGTATAGGATGCAGATTCGGCCTCTTGGTAAAGAAGTGTTGGTATGGATATCTTGTAGTTGCTTTAGTTGGAGTTTCTTACCCTTCTGTGTACTACCGAGGCCAAGGATACCTTGGCTTTGATGTGATGGAAAGACCTTATTTTATCATTCCTAACATCATATGTTGCCCAAAGGTTCCCCTTCTTTGGCTCTTGTATTTGCAACTACTTACTATCTTGGCTGCTTAAATCTCAAGCAGGCATGTTTGACAGTCTGGTCCTGATTCATTGTCATTTATTTTTTAAAATAAAAAAAATTGCATTCTAGGCACATCTGAAAAATAGGTCAGGGACAGTTCTGTTGTGGCTATTTAAATGACGCTGGGCTATTGGCATGAGCATATGTACCTGAGAAAATTCTTGTGTGATATGGTTAGATATTATTTTCTTAAAATTTGGACTGTAATTAAAATTCTAATAATAAGCTTTATTGTTTCAATTTTTGTTATATTTGAGAATTTTTAGGTCCAATGCTTTGGTGTTTTCTTTTTAAGCTATGATACTGGTAGTGTTTTGTGCATATTTACTGATATATCTTTGGACACAAATGTATCTCAGGTGTGGTCATATGTGCTGTTGCACAGCTTGTTCATCGCAATTGTCAACATGTCCACTCTGTCGACGACGTATTGAGCAGGTTGTTCGAACTTTCCGCCACTGAAGCATGGGTTTTGCTTTTTGGTGCATCAGATAGGTGTTGAGTACAAGGATATCAAATGTAGCTCCAGTTTGAAACTGCTCAGGTCTCCAATTTTAAGTAATTAGGTTCCGATTTGAAATTAGTACTATTTATGGCAATATATTTTCCTCCCTTCATGGGAAACTGCCGTATGGATTGATGTCCTGATGTCCTGTGGCGGTATCTTAGTTCATGTTTCTGGGCGAAGGCATTCAGCACTGTAAATACCTCATCTGTGAACCTATATCTTATACGGGAAAAATTCAACGAAAGCTTCAATTGAGAAATTAATGTCTTTTTACCGCAACAAAAATCCTAGGATCGATGGACTCTTCTACCATACTCTCTACATGCTCAAAGCATAACTAAGCTTTCGTTAGTTTTGGATAATGGACAATACAGTACAAGTGTACAATAATAGCAAAGCGTTATTTCAAGACATAGCATGTGTATCATCATACATATATAACACATGCTACAGTATGTATATGCTATAGTTGAAGTGAATTATACGAAGTATATATTTAATGTATCACATATGCTAAAGCTTAAATGATGCTATACAATAATATGCTAAACCCTGGTCAATTTTAAAACGATTATAATTGTTACTACCCATTAACTTTTTTTTTTTTTGAACCATCAACTTTTTTTGATGCACTGTTACTACCATTAATTGATTTAATTTACTACATTATTGTTACTAATTTATGATCAGTGAGAGAGTGAGGAATATTTCAAATAGTTAGAACTTTCCTTTCGATTCTAAGAGATGCTGGGCTCGATTCTCATCACTTGTCCTGTTCATTAGTAAAATGCAAATCTATCAAATAGTTATGTCAATTGCAATTATCAATATGATAATATTGATAACTTAAATAGTTTGGATTAGCTAACTTAATTTTGGATAGTGGACGGTACAAGTGTACATTAATTATGCGATATGACTAAGAGACTCTTAATCCCTACATCAAGGTCGTATGTTGTTTCATAAAAGAAAAAGGGAAGGCAATTCAATAAAGGGGCAAAACAAACAAGAAGACAATTAGGTATTAGCATTAGTAGTGGCTCCAAGAAAAAGTTTTGCCTAGGCCACAAGGTCATATTTGAAAACTATAAATGCTCAGTTGACTCTTTTAACCTAAATTACACCATGTTTATTTAGTACTTTTTCCGTCCTTTTTCAATTGCAATTGGAATGGGCGATATTTTAAGAGATGAAATAATCGACAGGGAACCTATGTGATGAGAAGATAGATATTAAATTATAAATAAAATCATTGTCTAAATAATTTTTAACTTTCCAAAAAAAATTCGTTGCGATTAACGTTGCTTTCCGTATACAGACAACATTGACTATTTCTTAAGTTGACTCTTTTGTAAATGAGTGGTCATCACAAACTATTTATCCCATGTAACAACAGCTTTTTATAAGGTCTAAGTAACACCATATAAGTTTGCATTTCAATGATTAGATTTTATATGCTTTTAATCATGAGCTGTTTGAAACTATCAAAATATTAATGTTTTATCAAATGAATATTTTTGGTGGTTGAGGGATCTGAATAGTTACTCCATTATTATTAACATGCATTAGATATAATTCTTAATTAAGATCTAAATTTGGTACATTAGAGATAAATTATTTAGATCTATGTTTTGTATCTGTTTTTTATAATTAAAATAATAGTTCGATGTGTTGGAATCTTACGTATTACCAATTTTTTTGCAACATAAAACAGCTACTAAGATTTGGCCTCTGGTTATGCTGAAAAACCAAACTGTTGTGCATGACTTCATAATTTATGTATACTACCTTTATAAAAATAAGTTAGCAATGACGTATTTTTTTTTTTCATTCGGTGTTTCTGTTTAATAATTTATCTAAGTTTTTTTAATGAGCTTAATTGTCTTTTATAGAGTAAGTTAAAACTGTTAACAACTTTCAAATAATTTAACTCACCTATGGTTGTTTTTCTAAGGAAAAAAATTCCAAAGAACATAAACAAAAAATTTGACAGTTTATTTGTACTACCAAACCAAAAATATCATTTTCTAGCTAATTGACAAAAAAAACATATAATTTTAACCTCTTGTTTCCAAATGATCATAGAAAATGCTAGCAGTATTAGTAACATATACCCCTCCGTTTCGTAATAATCGCAACACTTTTCTTTTATGTCCGTTTCATAATAATTGCAATTCTTCATTATTTTGGTAAGGAACTTTTACTATATTATTCAGCACACAAACACAAAATAAACTTTTTTTCTTTTTTTTTTTTTTTAAACCATGATAATATATAGTTTTTACATACATAAGATTCAAATCTTAAGGTAGAAAATATATCATTCTAAAATACCAAAGGAAACTTATATACACCCTAAGATAGAAAATTTATTACCGGGATTAGAAAAATTCTAGCATAGTCATGGATTACGCTAGGAGCTTTGATGCACGAGATTCAGTCTTTGTACAAAATATTCAATATTTCCTATGCGGCGCAAGGGTGGTTAGTGACGGACAATGTTCAAATGCCGCATAGCTAGATTACGCTGTATTCCATATATATATATATATATATATATATATATATATATATATATATATATATATATATATATATATGTGTATTTGTGAATTGTGACTTGTGACTAACTTGTAAATTATATATTATAATAATAGCATTTTCTATGCATTACTAAGACTAATATTCCATAATATTTGTATGTAAGATCTGAATCTCTTGAGGATTATTTATTGGAGATTCTCTTTGTTAATTTTGTCACTATTATTGTGAGCTTAAAATATGAGGTCAGGGACCAGATTTCAACATTTAAGGCGGCATGCAGTGCCAAACAATGCAGAATGTCCAGCATCACGTACTCTGTTTCTTTTTTTAAAATATTCCGTAATCACAAATTTGTGAATAGATTAATGTTATTAGTTTTTTTTTTTTTTTGTTAATGTTCATGAGATATTTCGGGTTGGTAGTTACCACAATATTGATTGGAATACGTACAAATTCTTAGTTGTTTTCAGGTATATATAGATAAAGTTAGGATGTTTGGTGTATCCATGAGTGTTTTTATTTTTCTTTATTTTATCGGTTTTGCTCAGTAATACCAAGAAATGAAAATACATGAGTATTCAGGAACAAGATAAAAGTGCTAATTGATGTATGGGAGTAAAGTTAAACCATTTAATGTTTTTACATATAGCTCGATCAAAAATCCAAATTACATTTAAAAAAAGTGATAGAGATTGGATATTGTATTTCACAATGCATCTAAACCACCTTTATTTATTACTTGTATGTTGTATCAATTTGTTTTGTGTGATAGGGCGCCACAAAGTAAACTTTATAGACAAGTATATTTCAATCCAAGGTCTCGGGTAATTAACCCTAAAATAACACTATGTCAACTAATTATTAGTTAGTTGGCATCCGCAATATGAAAAACTCCATAACAAAATGTCTATGATTAAAGATTTGACGTTATTTGTTAGAGATATGTATACTTGTATATGATTACAAATAAAGGAGTATGCTTTGAATTTTCCATGCAATTTCCTCAGGGGAATTATAGTGTAAAGTATTTGAACTCTCAAGTGGTGGAATGGAGCCAAAAAATGTGATTGCTTCTTGGATATAAACAAAACTCGGAGATAAATTTCCAAAATTTAAAGATTATTGAGATATTAGCTAGCTTAGTTTGTCAATTTATAAGAAGTGTATAGCAAAATGTCGCATACAAGAGCCCTAAATAAGGCAGGTGTCGACATATCTTGTATTGTTTATAAGACAAAAGTTAGATAGAATGTTTTTAAACGAGTGTTTGAATCATATACGGAGTAATAAGCAACTTATTCCAACTAGATCATTTTCTTTTCGGTGCGAATTAGTAATAAGGGTAATACAAATTATAATCGGGGATAGAACATTTAAATCTGTGACCTGACTTAGGCATTGTTCACTTCACTTTATAACAATACAAGTAATATTTAGTAAAAATAATTTCAGTTTAGTAGCAATAATTTCAGTTCGATAGAAATTAGTTTAATTAAATAAAAATACTTACGTTCAGTAAAAATAATTTTTGTTCAGTAAAAATAAGTTTAATTAAATACAATTAATTACACTTCACTAAAAATAATATTAGTTCAGTAAAAAAAAAAATTATTTTAGTAAAAATTTGTAATTTTAAGGAAAAAATATAGAGATTTAGTAAAAATAACTTCAGTTCAACAAAAATAGTTTCAATTCAGTAAAAATAATTTCAGTTTAGTTATATTAATTTCAATTTAGTAAAAATTATTACTATTAGTAAAAATAATTTCAATTCAGTAAACATAATTTTAATTCGGCAAAAAATAAAATAGAGTAAACATAACCTTATTATATACAAAACCTAATTTTAACCACTAAGTCAAGAACCCGTCGATAAGTTATTGCAACTTAATCATTATAAGTGTGAGGTTCTTTCGTTTAAATGAAGTCAAACCAACGTAAACCAACAAGGCTTGATTGTTGAATGTCAATTAGTCCGAATCCAACCAGGTGATTTAATTTTGGCTAAAAAAAACCTTTTAAAGAAGATTCTTAAAAGGTATCAAAGTGCTAATTGCTCTACACGTCGCCATCATATATTGCGTTATGAAACATGCCTAATTAAATGACTATACTTAATATAAAAAGGAAATAATTAGCTTACAACGTGGTCATAAGTCTACTAAGCAGACGGCAATAATATCACAGTTTAGTAATTCTTTAATAAATCAAAGGCTGATCTTTGTCGTTCTATTGTCTGTCTTTGAACAAATTATGCAATATTTTGAACCTGTACCGACTTAGTTATATACTTATATTTAGTCAAATTTAATTCACTAATAAATAAAGCCGGTCTCGTAGTCACGTCACGAGACAACAACACTTGAAATTTTCGTTTTAAAAAGTTCTTTAAAATAAGATCCATTTATAATATATTTAATTTATTTACAAAAATAATAGAAAATTAGTGAAAATAAGTTTTAATCATGAAAAATAAATTTTGTTTTGGTAAAAATACTTTTAGTTCAGTAAAAATAATTTCAATTCAATAAAATATATTTCAATTTTGTATGTCTAAATATCCTGCATTATCAAAAGGGATTATATGATCGTATTTAACATTCAATCCAAAAGGTTTATCCTAAACTTTTATCAAAATTAGATCCTTTTATATCAAGTTAATTTATATAAATTAGAAATAATTTAAGTGCAATAAAAAAATATCAAGTTAATAAAAACATAGATATCTATTTACAAATTAAATTACAAAAAGTACACTATTATATAAATAAGCGATATGATATCGTATGTCTAAATTTTTTACATTATCAAAAGGGGTTATATGATCGTATTTAACATTCAAGCTAAAAAATTTATGCCCGGGCACAAAACTAGTATATATATAAAGGAGAGTTTTTTTCCCGAGTTTTTGGAAAGCCACATAGGATTAAATTTTATTAACGCGTCTTGTAGGACTATACATGTTAGCTATAGCCAATTAAATAAGAGA